AGGTTGCCATTAAAAAAAAAATTTTTTTCCAGAACTCGAAAACTAAAAGAAATTTCGAAAAATGTTATTCTTGATAAATGGTCACATTTTAATTGTACTTTACGCTACACTAATAATTTTTTTCGTAAAGTGCTTAGTTTACGAAAAAAACGCTTGGTTCCATACTTTTTATTCACCCGGTATGATCATTGAAGTAATTTTCACAAAAAGACATTTTTCGGGTATAAAAAAGGGTTTTTCGACATATTACCTGCAGCCCGAGTACAAAGTTAGACTGGTGAATAGTTTTTTCCCCGGGGGTTCCCAAATTTAGTTTTTACATCGAGGGACTCCAGAAAAAGGGGGTCATAGTGAATGCCATCAAACATGAGGAAAATTCGCAGAGTGTAGTGTTGGTCCTCCCCAAACCGGTTGATGATGGCGTTGATGGTGTCCACGACGGCGATTTCGAACCCATAATGGTTCGAGAGGATGGCCAACTCGATGGCGCCCCCCCAGGACTTATCATCCTGGATCCACGCGCAGTACTCGCGATTGGGCTTCCCTAGAATCGCCTCGGAGAACATCTCGGGCTCGTTGGCCACCGTCTCGGCGATCACTTGTCTCATATAGGGGGCTGCCGTGCCGCTCTCGTCCAATTTCCCATTCAAGGCGAAATAAATGCTACTGAAAAGACACGAGTTGTCCGCCGGGACCACTTTCTTCATCAGAATGCCGGGACAGTCCACCTCACTGATGTGCCCCCGTTCAGGGGGCGGCGCCTTTTCCTCCAGGATTAGAGTGTCACCCGACTTGAGACCGCTGCGACCCAACTCGAGACTGTCCTCACTCAAGGCGAACACCTTCGGGGGGTACCCAGACAGGACGTGGAGGCGTTCCTGGGGGATCTGGGACATGGAACATAGTTGGTGTTTCAAGTCTTTGATTGTGTGCTCAGGGGTCAGGTTTTTGATCACTTGTTGACCGGTTTTGGTCTTGACGCGGAGAGCGAACGACATGGTGGCGTTTTTTTCGTTTTTGGGGGCTGTTATCAATGACAGTTAGGAATGACAGATGACAGGAAAGGTGAGGTTAAGGCCGAAATAAAGGGTTTTGGGGACAGAATTACGCCCAAGGTCACAAGGATAACGATTTAACGGTCTTATCACCTCGAAAACATTTCAAAGGGGTTATATAAACACTGGAAATTTGGAGGGGCTAGGGATTTTCAGCCAGTGACCAGCAGTACCAACCCTGGAATTTCAATCCAACTAACTTAATTGAAGCAATTAAAAAATTTGATTTAGATTAGGGGCTCAAAATAATCAGTTTTTGTACGGGTTTATCACCCTGATATTTTTTCTAATAGGTTAAATAAGCACAAAAAGAAATTTGGAGAGGCTAGGGATTTTCACCTAGTCACTAAAGTACCAATCCCAAAATTTTGATTTATTCAAGTTTAATAATTTGGGTCCCAAAAAATTTAATTTTATGTTAATAACACTTCTGTAATGGTTTTTATCCATTTGTGTGTCTGTGATTATTATTTAAGCTATTTTTTGGTTTTAATTGAGTGAGAGTTGTGCCAACTTAGGAGCGGCCATTTTTATAACCAAAAACTAGTGATTGAAGCGGTGATAAAAATGGTTAGCTTTGTGCACTAGTGTTTGAAAATAATGTATTTAAATGAAATTAGAGTCTGAATTATGTTGATTGGATCGTAATTGTGGTGTCTTTGGTGTGTTTTCGTGCGTTGCTGACGCTTTTTCAAAAGTGAGGTTAGGTCATTTCGTTCCTGTCTCAAAATAAGCCAAAATGCCGCGTATTATGATAAAAGGGGGCGTTTGGCGCAACACTGAGGTACGTACGAGTCAAAATTCACCAAATCAGCCCCCTTGACAATTTTTTTCCCCCAGGATGAGATCCTCAAGGCCGCTGTTATGAAATATGGGAAAAACCAGTGGTCTCGAATCGCTTCGCTCCTCCACCGGAAGTCAGCAAAACAGTGTAAAGCCCGTTGGTTCGAATGGTTGGACCCCAGTATCAAAAAAACGGAATGGTCTCGCGAAGAGGACGAAAAACTCCTCCATTTAGCCAAACTAATGCCGACACAGTGGCGCACAATAGCCCCCATAATCGGGCGCACGGCCGCTCAGTGTCTCGAACGCTACGAGTACCTCCTCGACCAAGCCCAGAAGAAGGAGGAAGGGGAGGATGTGAGTGACGACCCCCGGAAACTCAAACCGGGGGAAATTGACCCCAATCCGGAAACGAAGCCTGCAAGGCCCGACCCCAAAGACATGGACGAGGATGGTGAGTTTACAACCAATAGTGGTGCCAGATGAGGGTTTTTGAAAAAAATTCTTTTTGCTCTTGAAGTAGGGAAAAAATGCCTAATCTGGCATCACTGCCAAACAAGAAAACAACACAAAAGAAATAAACTTTCAAAGTTCTTTAAGGAAATAAAAAATAAACAATATAAAATTAAATTAAACCTGATTTTTTTAATAAAAAAATGTTTTTTTGTAATTTTTGTTTTTATTTAATATGTATTAGCTGAAAAATTTTGATGTTTTTATTGAAAACTAAAAAAATCCTAGAATTTTGAGAAAATAATTTTTTTTTCCTTTTGTCAAAAAAATTCCTAGAACTAAGGAAAAAATGCATGATCTGGCATCATTGCCAAACAAAAGACCCCAAAAAACCAATAAGTTTTAAAAAATTTTTAAAGAAATAAAAAAATAAACAATATAAAAATAAATTAAAATTGGTTTTTGTAATAAAATTGTTTTGTTTTTGTATATTTGTCTTTGTTTAATATGTATTATATTGAAAAAAA